GAGTGATTTTGTCTTTCAATGTTTGACGGCCACTGTTGGCGTTGAAAGACTCGAACGTGTACAATCCCTGAAGCGCAGGCTGCTGAACAACTGTCGTTTTGCCCAAGGGGGGGGGAGTCCAGACACACGAATGTTCGCAAATTCTGAGTGCGTCTCGTCTACGTTAGGAACAACGCTGCTGTTTGGCCATCTCTCTGAGCTTTCCCTGGAACGCAGCGAAGTCATCCTCGGATTCGAGGAGAAGCTTGGCCTCCTCCTCTGAGAGCTCGTCAAAGGCACGCTTGACGGGCTCATTGTGCTCTCCCTCTCCATCACCTGTAGCAGGGGCCTGTGGCATTGGAGCATCAGCACTGCCGCTAAAAGCAGCACCTGTCGCCTTGACCATACCCATGGGGATTGTCTGCAGCTTCTTCCACTGGTCTGACTGTAAGAAGACCTGCAGTTCGGGATCCTCGGTCTCCTCAGGCTGCACCTCCAGCTTGATATCCGTGTCATTGGCGCCACCACCGTTAGCGGCCGCAGCAGTCGTGCCGTCTGCGATGAGGGCTGCCGTCCGCTTGTACTCTGCATCGAGCGTGTCGATCTCGATCTTCTTGGCCTCCAGCTGCGCCTTGCGCGTCGCCAGAGACTCCTGCAGCTTCGCCAGCTGCTCCGACTTCTCAGCAATCTCTGCTTCCATCTTGTCACGCGCAGCGCGGGCCTTGTGCAGGTCCTGAGCCGTCCTCCTATGGGCGATCTCAGGCGTGCGCAGCGCACGCTGTTGATCCTTGATGCCCTTGACCTTCTCAATCGTGGCCGAGCGGATGGGATCATCATCCTGACCAGGGAGGGTCTTGAGCGCCGTCTCGTACTGCAAGAGCTGTGCGACCAGCTTCTCACGCTTGACTTTGTCATCGCCCTCGTGCTTGATCGGCTCCAGCGTGTCCTTGGTGGGCGGCACCGCCTTGCTCCATGGGCGCGGGGCCTCTGCAGCTGACGTCGGGGGCGCACCGCCGCCACCCTTGCCGCAGAGCTCACGCAGCATCTTCTCGAGCTCCGCCAGCCTCTTGCTCGCGTCATTCTGCTTATGCTTGCTCTTTTTCGCCGACGTCGAAGGTGGCGGGCCGCCTGTGCCATGGATGAGCTTGTCGTGCGCATCCCAAGCGGCCTTCCTGATCCGAAATGGCGCTACATTTCCACATACACATACAACTCTCGATGCCCAGTTCGCCGCCGCTGAGCACCTCCCGCATGCCCAGAAGGGCCGCCTCGGGCCGCGGAGGACCGCTGGCTGGGGCGGCGCAGGCACCATCGCGGCGACGGGACCTGCTTCGTGGTTCGTTTTGCTCCCTCTGGAGCACACTTGCTGTCGGACGAGCCAAGTTAGCTCGGTGCAGCGGCGCCGTTCTGAAGACAGCTGCACCAAGCCCAAGACACTTGGGCCAGAACGGCTAGAGGAGGAGGAGGAGGAGGAGGAGGAGGAGGAGGAGGAGGAGGCAACAGTGGCGACGACGGCAAGCGGCCGAACAGCAGCTGCGATGGCGGCAGGCAGAGCGGCGGCCGCGTGCGCGGTGGTGGCGCAGGCTCCTCTGCGCATGAGCGGGATATTGCGGCCGTCGTCCTCGGAGAACGCGGTGCCAAACATCCGGAGCAGTCGGCGGCGTCCATGCGAGCGAAGAGGGGCAGCCGGGAAAGCGCGACCGCGCGGCCGCGCCGAGGCTCCCAGGAGGCGCGACGCTTCGGCCACTGAGGCCCCGTCGTCACGGGTCCTCGTGGAGCCCTTTGGGCCCATCTTCGTGCCCTTTTGGTTTCTGTTAGGCCTATCTTTGGGATCACGGGCCGTCTGAGGCTGTCTGGGGGGTCTCTTGGGCAACATTGTGGCCCTCTTGGGGCTCTCTTGGGGCTCTCCTGGGGGCCTCGTGGGGCCCTCTTGGGCCGCCTTGGGGCCCTCTGGGGCCGTCTTGGGGCCCTCTTGGGCCGTCATGGGGCTCTCGTGGGGGCCCTCGTGGGGGCGTCGTGGGGGCCTCCAGGGTTCTCTTCAGCTATTCGTGCTCAAAAGAGCCCGTACCGAAAACACCTTCAAAAACCATTGGAAAATACATGTTTTTTTGGCTCCTGGGGGAGTCCTCGGAGTCGTCTGGAGTGCCTCCGGGGCCACTCGGCTCCTCAAGGAACCCTGGGGGGGCCGGTTTGGGGCTCGCTCGGAGCTCTCGTGAACACGTCATTCATGGGCGGCCCAGGGCCCTTGCGGCGACGGCGACGGACCAGGGCCCCGGGAGCGCCGGGAGCGGCCCCGAGCCACTGCCGGTCACCTCGCACGCGCTGCGACCAGCATTGTAGTATAGACTAGGGCTGACCCGTGGACTACGTCCACGACATCTGCTCGAGGTGGCGAGCGGTGTCTGGGCAAGCGTGCTTGCTTCTGCCCAGTGCCTTTTACATCCGCTTGCTGTTGCGAAGTGCTGCGTGTTGCCACTCGCGGCTTATCGTTCTGTCTTTCTTCGGCGTTTGCCGCTTGATTATGTCGCTTCTTGCTGCTTGATCCCGACCTCAGCCTGGAGCCTTTGCAAAGGAGGGAAGAAAATAAGAGGCAGTTCGGCGCCTTATTTTCCTGGGTGGCAGGCGCGGCTCCAGAGCTCTCTGAGGGATCTTCCCTCGGAAGCCTTCTTGGGAGCCCTGGGGCCGGCTTGGGCTTGGGGCGTGGAGGCTCCGAAGATACGAGGAAGTCAGACTGGAGCCTTTGCAAAGGAGGGAAGAAAATAAGAGAGGCGCATCGGCGCCTTATTTTCCTGGGTGGCCGGCGCGGTTCCAAAGCTCTCCGAGGGATCTTCCCTCGGAAGCCTCTAGGAGGCGGCTTCGGGGGTGTCTTCTGGCCTCTCGAGGGTCTCTGGGGGCCTGATTTGGGCCTCTTCGGGGCCCTTCTGGGGCGTCTGGCGGGCCTCCTTGGGGCCAGCTGGCGGTGTCTGGGATCATCCTGGAGCGGAGGGCGCGAAAGGTCAGTTCGAGTTCCCCTCGCGTGGTCCTCTTGGGACCGTCTTGGGCCGTCTTGGGGGGCTCGTGGGCAGTCTTGGAGCCCTCTTGGGCCGTATGGGAGCTCTCTCGGGGGCCCTGGGACAGGCTGGGAGCGTGGAGACTCTGAAAAAACGAAAACGCTGAAACCCTTGGAAAATTCTAGGAACATCAATTTGTTTGATCGTCTCGGAGCCCTTCTTGGGGTCCTCTTGGAGCCCGCTTGGGTCGTCTTCCTGCACCGTGGGGCCTTCTGGGGCGTCGGGGGGGATTCTTGGAGGGCAACTGGCGGTTTCTGGGGTCATCCTGGAGCGGAGGGCGCGAAATGCCAGTTGGAGTTTCACCTCATGAGGCACTCCTGGGGCCGTCTTGGGCCGTTTTGGGGCCCTCTTGGGCCGTCTGGGTGCTCTCTCGGCGGCCTCGTGGGCCATCGTTTCGCGATCTCGGGGGCCCTGGGGCCAGCTTGGAGAGTCAAGGCTCCGAAAACGCGAAACCTCTGAAACCCTTCGAAAACATACGGTAAATTCATGATTTTCGCCTCACGGGGCCCGGCTTGAGGGCCTCTTTGGGCCCTCCTGGGCTGTCTTCTGGCACTGTGGCGCCTTCGGAGGCGTCTGGGGAGCCTCTTGGGGGCCAGCTGGCGGTGTCTGGGATCATCCTGGAGCGGAGGGCGCGAAAGGTCAGTTCGGGCCCCCCCTGATGGGGCCCTCTTCGGGCCGTCTTGGGTCGTCTTGGGGGGGGCTCTTGGGCCATCTTGGGGCCCTCTTGGGCTGTCTGGGAGGCCTCGTCGGCCGTCTTGGAGCGGTCTTGGGGGCCTCTTGGGCGGTCTTCGAGCATCGGGAAGCCGACAGAAAGACACTGCAAAAAACACACAAAAAACTGATTTAGCAAATGTTGCCTCTCGGGCCGTCTGGGCTCTGTCTGGGGCAAGACTGTGTGCCTGTGGGGCTGTGTGGGGCCGTCTGGAGTCGTCTTGGCCGCCTCTGGGGCCGTCATGGGGCCCTGTGTGGTCGTCTGTGGGCTCTCTCAGGGGCTTCGTCGGCCGTCTTGGAGCTGTCTTGGGAACGCCTTGGGCGGCGGTGGGATCGTGCAAAAGCCGACCAAGCGAGTACGGCAAAAACAATGCCAAAAACAACGAACATCTAGGAATTGTCTTGCTCGGGGCCCTGTGGGGAAGCTTCTGGGGAGGTCTCATGGAGAACGTTGGAGGTATGTCGGGCCGGCTTGGGCCAATGGTGGGCCAATCTCGAGCGTCTGTGGCACATCTGGGGCCGGTTGAGCCGACTCGGGGCCCTCTGGGCCCGTCTTGGGGCTCTCTTTGGGTCCCTTTACGGCCGTCTGGGAGCCGTCTTGGGAACGTTTTGGGCTGTCGTGGATCGCCTGGAAGCCGAGAAGGCGGACACCGCAAAAACCTTTTAAATAAACAATGACAATCAATGTTTTGTCCTGCTCGGGGCCCTCTGGGGAAGTTTCCCGGGAGGTCTCTCGGAGCACCTTCGAAACCTCTCGGGCCGGCTTGGGCCAATCTTGGGCCAATCTTGAGCGTCTGGGGCCCATCTGGGGGCCTGTTGAGCCGACTTGGAGGCCCTCTGGGCCCGTCTTGGGGCTCTCTTGGGGGCCTCTTCGGCCGTCTTGGAGGCGTTGGGAACGTCTTGGGCCGTCGGGGATCGTGTGGAAGCCGACAAGGCGAGCACGGCAAAAACCGACAAAAAAATACAAATCAATGTGTTTTCCTGCTCGAGGCCCTCTAGGGAAGCTTCCCAGGAGGTCTCACGGAGCACCTTGGGGACCTGTCGGGCCGGCTTGGGCCTCTTGGGGCTCTCTTGGCGTGTCTTCGAGCCTCCCTGGGTGGCCCGGGGCGGACCGGGGCCAGCCCGAGGGCGGCTTTGCCCCACTTGGCCCCCCGCCATTCTGGCACGCGGCCCCCTCGGCATTACAATATAGCTGCCGCAGGGTTCCAGCTTCGCCTCCCACATCTCGCTCAACAGCGCCAGCGCCCGCTGCCACTGCTCGCCCTTCTCGCACGCGCTGATCCCAGCGTTGTAGCTGACTAGGGCAGACCTGTGGACTCCGTCCACGACATCAGCTCGACGTGGCGCGGGGTCTCTGGGCAAGCGCGGGGGGGTGCGGCTGCAGGGCCGAAAGGCAATCATGATGGCGTCGGGCTCCAGCTTGGCTTTCCACATCTCGCAGTGCAGCGCCAGGCCCCGCTTGTCGTAAGGGTGCCTCCTCCTCCTCCTCCTCCTCCTCCTCTTCCACCTTCTTCTCCTCTTTCGCTGGATTCTCCATGCCCTCGGTCGGCAATCGTCGATCCTACGACGACTCTCCCCAACAGAGAAACATCGAAGGCCCTCGGAGCGTCCAACATTGTTCTTGTGTGCCTTCGATATGCCGGTCGCCTCTCGTCCGCTCCCCCCCTCCTGGAAGCAATTCTGAGGCCACTTAGGGCTTCGCGGGGGCCGTTTGGGGATCTCTTGGGGCGTTTTTGCGTGCGATATGCCTGTCGCCTCTCGTCCGCTCCCCCGCTCCTGGAGGGAATTCTGAAGCCACTGAAGGCTTCGTGGGGGCCGTTTCGGAGCCTCTTCGGCCTTCTTTTGGGCCTCCCGGGGAGGCTCTTAGAGCCCTTTCGGGCCGTCTTGGGTGCCTCTCGGGCCGTCTTGGGGCCGTCTGAGGCCCGCCTCGGCGCCTCTTGGGCTGTCTTGGGCCGTCTTGGGCCGCTCCTGGGGCCGTCTTGGGAGCCTCTTGGGCCGTCTGGGGCGCCTCCTGGGCCGTCCTGGGGCCGTCCTGGGGCGTCTTGGGACCGTCTTCGGGCCCTCCTGGCCCGTCTTGGGGCTCTCTTGGGGTCCTCTTCGGCCGTCTTGGAGCGGTCGGGGGGACTTCTTGGGCCGTCTTGGAGCGTCGGGAAGCCGAAGAGGCGAGGAGGCCGAAAACATCGAAAAACACAATAGAAATCGACGATTTCTGTCGCTCGGGGCCCTCTTGGGAGGCCTCTTGGGAGGCCTCTTCGGGCGTCTTGGACGCCTCTTGGGCCGTCTGGGGCGAATCTCGGGCGTCTTGGGCCCATCTTTAAGCGTGCCGGGGCTCTCCGGGGCCGTCTTGGGGGCTTCTGGGGGCCCTCTCGACATGTCCTGGAGCCTGCCTGGGCGGCCCGGGGCGGCCCGGGGCCAGCCCGGGGCGGTTTCGGTGCATTGGGGCCTGCGCCCTTCTGGCACGCACTGGGCCCTGCAATGTAGTAGAGATGACTAGGGCTGACCCGTGGACTCCGTCCACGACTTCTTTCTGGAATGGTTCTCGGAGGAACGGCGCAGACTGTACCGAAAATCTACAAACACGGCGGCGGCTCGGGCGGCGGCAGCGAGACCGCGCTTTCGTGTCCGAGCTCTTGCAGCGCTCCAGCAGCTTGGCCACAGCGCACTGCTCGTTCACCCCCCTCCTATTGAGGGCAGTTTCGAAGTCTCTCGGGGATGTGCGTCGAAGTCGAAGCCCATCTGAGGCGTCTCAGGAGCGCCCGGGGAAGGGCTTGGAAGGCCATCGGGGAAAGCCACCGAAAGCGCCAGGGAGGCTCGCAAGGATCTACAGGGAGGGCCCAAGAGAGCTTCAAGAAAATTTGAATTCCAGTGAACTCTTAAGAGAAACCGCTGTTGGGTCGGGCATCACCTCCGGGCACGCCTTGATGGCGCGATCCAGTCGCATCGCCGCCAACGGGAGGGTTTGTTCGCCATGTCCCATTCTGTTCGCCCAGAGGGTCTGTGGAGGCCTTCGGGCGAACAGAATGGGACAGGGCAAGGAATGGGGAAGACTTGTCCGAATCTCCTGGGCCCCCCAGGTGCTCGTCCGAAAAGTGCGGAGAAGTCCCTGGGTCATATCGATCGGCTGCTGTCCCAGGGGTCCGGTCTGGTTGGCCCGAAGAGTTTGCCAAGGCCCCTGGGGGAACAGAATGGCACAGCATATCGGGCAAAGGGGGGCGGTAGCTGGCTTGTCAGGCCCGGCGTTCGTCTTCTGCCCAAGCGGCGCGGGGCCCACGGGCCCCAGGGATGGCGGCCCGCTGGGTTTCCTCTTGTTCGCCCACAGGGTTGGGGGAGGCCTCCAGGCGAACAGAATGGGGCAGGACAATGAGTGTTCGCCCGAAGGGTGTGGGGCCGCGTTTGCTCCCTCAAAGGGCCGTCTTGGAGCCGTCTAGGCCCGTCTTGAGGGCGCCGTTTGCCGTGATGGGGCCGTCTTGGTTCGTCGTGGGCCCCTCATGGGCCCTCTTGGGCACGTCCGTAGGCCGTCCTGGGCCCATCGGGGTCCTTGTTGGCACTATCGTGGGGCTGTCTTGGAGCCGTCTGGGGCCGTGAGGGGGCCACCTTGGAGTCGTCTTGGGCCCCTCCTGTGCGCCTCCTTGAGCCGTCCTGGGCCCAGCAGGGGCCGTCTTGGCACCCTCTTGGGGCTGTCTTGGGGCCGTCTTGAGCCGTCGCAGCGCGCCTTGGGTTGTGCTGGGTCCGTGGCGGCCTCTGTTGGGGCCTCGTTGGGGCTCCTTGGGAGCCTCCTGGGGCCTATTCGGGGGATTCTTGGCGGCCCCTTGGGGCCTCTTGGGGGCCTGTTTGGGCCTCCTGGCGCACTCTTGGGGCGGAAGGCTTGGAGTTTCGGTCCGTGGTCCTCCTCTTGGTCCCCTCTTGGGCCTGTCTTCGGGCCCTCGTGGGCCTGTCTTGAGCGTCTCTTGGGTCGTCTTGGGGCCCTCTTGGGCTGTCTTGGGGCGCTCTTGGAAGCCTCTTGGGCCATTCTTGGGCGCTCTTGGAGGCCTCTTGGGCCGTCTTCGAGCGTCAGAAAGCGGAAAAAGCGAGAAGGCCAAAATCCTTCCCAAACCGTCGTAAAGTGGATGATTTTGGCCGCTCGGGGCCCTCGGGGAATACGCTTGCAGGCCTGGGCTCCTTGAGCTGTCTTGGGGGCCTCTTGGGGCCTCTGGAGCCTCTCTGGAGCCGCCCAGGGCGTCTTTAAGCCCCGTGGAACCTCCTGGGGACATCTTTTGGGCTCCAGGGGGCCTCTTGGGCCTCTCTGGGCCCGTCTATCGCGCCCCTTGGGCTGTCTTGGGGCCCCCTAGGGCCTTTTTGGGCGGTCCTCGGGCCGTCTTGGAGCCGTCTTGGGCCGCTCGTCGGGCCATCTTGGGGTCCCGTTGTTCTGTCTTGGGCGCCTCTGGGGCCGTCCTGGGGCCGCCTTGGACCGTCTTGGGGCCCTCTTGGACCGTCTCGGGGTCCTCTTGGGGACCTCTTCGACAGTCTTGGAGCGGTCTTGGATGCCTCTGGGGGGGTTTCGCAGCGTCGGGAAGCCGAAAAAGCGAGGAAGGAAAAAACCTCTGAAAAACAAAAGAAAATCAACGATTTTGGCCTCTCGGAGCTCTCTTGGGAGGCCTCTTCAGTTTTGGGGAGCTCTTGGGCCGTCTTGGGCCAATCTTGGGCGTCTTGGCCGGATCATTGCGCGTCTCGGGGCCATCTTGGGCCGCCTTCGGGGCATCTTGAGCGGCTCAGAGCCGTCTTTGAGCGGCTCGGAGCCGTCTTTGGGCCGTCGGGGCGGCCTCCGGAGCGTCTCGGAGCCGTTTCCGGCCATTTGGTCCTTTTTCCCTTCCGGCACGATAATGCCCCAAATACGCGTTTTCCGGAGGGAATGGGAAGATGTTGGCCTCTTGGGGCTCTCCTGGGAGGTCCTCCAGGGCCGTCTTGGGAGCCTCTAAGGACGTATTGGGGCCACTTGGGCGCCTCTTGGGCTGCCTTGGGGCCGTCTTGGGCCGTCTTGAGCCGCTCTTGGAGCCCTCTTGGGCTCCTCTTGGGCTGTCGTGGGGCCTCTTGGGCCGTTCGGGGTCCGTCTGGGCCCGCCCGGGGGCGGTTTTGCCACGCCGGGTCCCCCGCCATTCTGGCACGCGGCTCCCCGGCGTTAGAACATTGATGACGCTGGGTTCAAGATTCGCCTCCCGCATCTCGCTCAACAACGCCAGCGCCAGCTGCCACTGCTCGCCCTTCTCGCACGCGCTGATCCCAGCGCTGTAGCTGACTAGGGCTGACCCGTGGACTCCGTCCACGACATCTTTCCATGGCTCTCGGAGGAACAATGGGAACTTGCGGAAAACCTATAAGAACGGCGGCGGCCGGGGCGGCGGCAGCGAGACCGCGCCTACGTGTCCGAGCTCTAGCAGCGTACCTTTGCATGCCCTTCGCCTTCGGCACCGCCTGATCCCGGGGCTTTGCCCTCTCCTGGCCTTGACGTGAGGCCCCTCCTTCTGTTTTCCTCCCTCTGTCAGTTAAAGCTGTGCGCGGCCCGCTTAGCTTCGACCGGAAGAGGCTCGCTCTCGACCCGCGGATCAAACATTGTTTTCTGCTGCTAGCTACTACTTGCTGCCGCTGCTGGCTTGTGTGCTGCCGGATATGGAGGCCGTGCTGGGGGGCCCTATGGCCGAAACTATTGGAGGCCTCGTTGGGCCCTCTTGGGGCCGTCCTGGGCCGTCTCAGGGTTCTCTGGGGGTCTGTTGGGCCGTCGTGGCGTTCTCTGGAGGGCGTGTCGGGCCGTCTGGAAGCTCTCCGACGTCTTCTGTAATATTCTGGGAGCCCTCTGGGGCCGCCCTTGGGCTCTAAGACAGCCCAGAGGGCCCAAAGACGACCCGAAGACGGACCGAGACGGCCCAAGAAGGCTCCAAAAACAACCCAGGAGGCTCGATGGGGGCCCCCAAAGGGCCCAAGGTGGCCCGCAAGGAGCCCAAGAGTCTCCCCCGAAGCCGTTTTGGAGCTGTCTCGCGTCGAAAAGCCTGCGAAGCAAAATCCATACCGCATAGACCACCCTTCGGGTGATAAGGAGGTGAGGGGGGGGGGGAGGGACCACCGTCGCACTCGATCGATCTCACTATCGATCTCACTATCGATCTCATTATCGATCTCATTATCGATCTCACAGTCGATATGGCCATCAATCTCACAACCGATCTCACAATCGATCTCACTATCGATCTCACATTCGGTCTCACTATCGATCTCACTATCGACATCACAACCGATCTCACAATCGATCGCACATTCGGTCCCACTATCGATCTCACTATCGATCTCACTATCGATCACATTCGATCGATCTCACAATCGATCTCACTATCGATCTCACAATCGATCTCACATTCGGTCTCAGTATCGATCTTACTATCGATATCACAATCGATCTCAAAAATCGATCTGACTATCGATCTCACTATCGAATTCACTATCGAT